AAATAAATAAATAAATAAAAATTAAGTACAACATATATATCATCTATGGCAAGTTATATACTACAAATAAATTGAACATTTTTAAGGCAATTTTTGTTTTCATTTTAACTAGGGCATCTGAAAATATTTTAAGTTCTTTTTTAAATACAATAAGTAATGGAGGAGTTTTGAAATATCTACATTTATGAATAAAATATTTGGCTAACACAATTATCATATTTATCAAATCGTGCAAAGTAGAGCAATCTTTAGTAATTCCATATAGTACATCTTGTAATGTAAAAGTCAAACCTTCAGCATCCACGTTTTTTATTATCAACCAGTCTTGTACTTTTTTCCAAAATGATTGAACGGCGCTGCAAGAGAAAAATATGTGTTCTGTGTCTTCACTAAAGTGTTTACATAAATGGCATGGTGAGTTTTCTAAGTTAAATTTTAGGTGTAAGAAACTATTAGAAGGGTATATATCATTTAATATTTTAAATTGTACTTCTTTTGCCTTGGGGAGAATTGGAAATTTAAGATATGTTGTTCTAAAAAATTTAACAGTATTTTTATCCGTTGAATGAAATAACCTATTTCTTAATACTTGATAAGGGAAACAAGATTGGATAATAATTTGTCTTAAATGTTTATTAGTGCAAAGTTTATTATCAAATTCAAACTCACCAGTATATAATAAGGGAAGGACTGGAGTAATTTTCGAATAGGATAGGTAACTTTTCATTAACATTTTTATACCTGAGGGTATAGCATTAATAACAGTGAAAAATTGCTTTGGATGACAAGCAAATCCGTGTCTTAGAGTGAAAGTATTGTAATCTAGAATATTGCCCCTTCCATCCATTAAGTCTGTTACTGACCAAATGTTTTTATTTAACCATTCTTCATAAAAAATGGATTTGTTCCTGTGTAGAATATACTTGTTATTCCAAATAGGGGTATTGTGAGGTGTAAAATTATGTGTGTGCGCTAGTTTCCAAGACAGCAAGACTTGTTGGTGGAATGCTGAAAGCTTCACTGGGAGTTTAGACAAGTCAAAGTCACATCTGAGAAGAAATCGGATGCCACCTAGTTTGTTAAACAAGGCACAAGGAACAGTGTACCAGAAACTTTCAGTATTACTCAAAAACCTTTGAAGCCATTTCAGTTTTAACATACTATTCATACTTTCAAACTCAATAATATTAAGACCACCTTCTTCATACGATTTGATAATATCAGATTTTTTAATATAATGGGTTTTGTGTCTCCAAATAAAGTCATACATTTTTTGGTTACTTGTTTTTATAAATGCTGAAGAGGGAGCTAAAGCCTGAGCAGGATAAATTAGTTTTGATAGATATTCAACCTTGGATAGAAGAATTCGTCCAAAAATTGAAATATCTCTCTGCAGCCAGCAATTCAGGATACCATTAGCTTTATGTACTTTATTTTCAAAGTTTTCTTTGATGTTAATGTTTGAATCTTTTGAGATCAAAATGCCTAAATATTTCACAGTTTCTTTTACTGGGATGTTACACAGGGATAGATCTGGACTAGGGTGAAGAGCTAAAAGTTCACATTTGTTTAAATTTAATTGGAGGCCAGATGCTTTACAAAAAGAACTAATTAAAGAGATAGCTGGAGAAATTTGGTCTTTATTTTTTAAAAATAATGTGGTGTCGTCCGCTAGCTGACTAATTCCTATTGTTTTTCCGAAAATATTTAATTTCTCCACTGAATTATCAAATGTAATTTTTGTGGCTAACATGTCTACCGCTAAAATAAATAAAAATGGAGACAAAGGGCACCCCTGCCTTATTCCACGGCCAATCGGAAATCTATGTGTAGTGCCAGAAGGGAGAGATACTGAACTATTCATATTTCCATAAATCATTTTGATAATATTAACAAATTTATCACCAAAGCCAAATAATTCTAAGGACTTGAAAATAAAAGTGTGCTCAATCATGTCAAAGGCTTTCTTAAAATCTAAAAAAAGGATAAAACCATCATCCTCTATTAAGTCACAGTACTCTACCAAGTCCATCACCAACCTTATATTATTATGAATCGACCTACCTTTCAGAAAGCCAGATTGGGATTCGTTAATTAAATTATGAATACCTTTTTTTAATCTATTAACATATGCGTGTGTGAAAATTTTATAATCACTGTTGAGTAAAGTGATTGGGCGAAAGTTATCAATCAATTTTAAGTCTTTATCAGGTTTTGGAATTAGTGTGATTAAACCTTGGTTCATACTTGGACCTAAAGATCCATCTTCAATAGATTCACGGAAAGCATCAAATAGTAATGATCTAATATCATTCCAGAAAAATTTATAAAAATTAGCGGTGAGACCGTCAGGACCAGGAGATTTATTCAATTTAAGCTTTTGAACAGCAGAGTCAAGTTCTTCAATTTGTAAATCGGCCTCACAGCCTTCTCGCCACTCGTTGTTGATACGGGGAATATTAGGTAATATTTTATCAAAAAATTCATTTAAATCAGAATGAGAGAGGTTGGAAGAATACAAGTCACTGTAGAATTTAAAAACATTCTCCTTGATTATAGTGGGGTCTGAGCATTCTGTGCCATTTATTAATAGAGAAAGTATAGAGTTATTCTGTTGTCGTCTCTTTTCTAATCTACAGAAATAAGAAGTACTTTTCTCACCTTCTTCTATCCATTTAGCCTTAGAACGTATATAGGCACCCTTAGCTTTTTTAATGTAGAGGTTGTCAAGTTCTAATTGTAAAGAGATTATTTTAGTTTTTTCTAACTCAGTTAATGTACTATCATTACAACATTTATTAATTTCGTAAATAATATTAAGTTCCTGTTGTTTCCTGACTTTGGCAAGTATTTTACTGTAATTAATAGAGAATTCACGAATTTTATATTTAAGAAATTCCCATCTGGCTTTATTAGAACTAAAATTGTTACTGTTTTTAATATCTAGAATTAGCTCCCTTATTTTTAGACAAAATTTTTCATTATTAATTAAGTCAGAGTTAAATTTCCAATAACCCTTAGTTTTTGATGAGGTATGATCTGTTTGTATTATTAAGGATATGGAACAGTGGTCTGTTAAAGGTGCTGCAGACATTGTACAGTCTTTAGCAAATAAAAGTAAGTTATCTGATACTAACCAATAATCGATTCTTGATTTGCTGGCTGCATTGGGTCTAAACCATGAGAATTGCCTAAGGCTAGGATGAAGATATCTCCAGACATCAATTATTTTAAGGTTAGAACAGAATTTGGAAACCAAGGGATTTAGCAGAGAAGATGTGCTTTTAGGAGGATATCTATCATAAGTTTCATCCGGTACCACATTAAAATCTCCACCCACAACAATATTTTCTGTAGGGTATGATCTCTTTAAATCGGAAATTACAGAGGATATTTCCTGCAATAAATTTTGATTCAATTTAGAATTATTGTAACCATATACGTTTACCAGAATGAAAAAAAAGTGCTCAATATCTAACACCACTGCTAGCCAATGTCCATTAGGGTCATATTTAGCAGAAATTATTTTCCCTGGACAGTTATTAAATAAAATTGCAGTACCAGCCGAGTGGGAGGAACCATGGCTAAGTAAAACTTTATCTCCCCATTGACTAGACCAAAACGAAGAATCTGAAACAGTTGAGTGTGTCTCTTGTAAAAAAAACGCATTGAGAACCATTACTTTTACAAAATAAGAACATTGCTTTACGTTTGACTTTATCTTGGATGCCCCTGACGTTAAGTGACATGAGAGAAATTTTGAACTTAACTGGAAACATAACAAAAATAGCAAAAGATGAAATAAAATAACAGAAATTTGTTCACAAAAGAGGAAATCTCAGAACGGGTGGTATAAACCCCAAACAGTTATAACCACAACAGAGCATACCTCCCAGCCTAGCGTTTCTTAACAGTCATATTTCAAACTGTCCTACCATAAAAAGACAACTACACAGTCATGCGGCGTCAATGCGCTTCCCTTCAATATACCCGAACGGTCCACGGTAGTAGGCTATCTTTCCTGCTTTTCGCGCCTGATCGATCAAAGGCCACAGCGCAGCGCGGGCCAGCCGGTCCTCCCTCGTCATATCCTCCGTGAAACGAACTCCGTGGTCGCGGCACACAGATGAATTTTTAGTAGACCTCCAAATTTCGTCCCTGTATTTACGCATTGTGAACTGCACAATCACTTGCCTGGGTTTACCTAGCTCCTTCTTGCCAACTCGGTGCACTGTGTCAACAATGTCTTCTACTTTATGAATCAAATGCGGAGCAATTTCAGCGATCATGGCAATCGTTTCTTTACGAGCATCCTCCTCGGGCTTCTCTTTCATCCCGTTGATCCGGAGATTCCACCTCCTTTTATATCGCTCTAGCTCTGACGTTCTGCTCGCCAGGTCTTTGTGTGATGTTGTTAGATATAGGAGTGATTTGCTCGCTTCTGCACATTTTTCTTTGCAATCTTTAATTTCAGCGGCATTGAATTCAACCGCCTTAGAAATCTCTGCCACCATGATACTGTTCTTTCGCATCTGATTCGCCATGTCTTCTAACTGTTCATTTTGTACGTCAAAACGAGCTGTCAGTGATGTTATGGCTTGCAAGAGAGTTGCGTTAGTGATGTCATCATCATGAGGTTTTAGCTTTTTTTTATCGTTGTCTTTGGTCGGGGTGAAATGGGATGCATCACGCCGTTTGTCTGTTTTAGCCGTTTGTACCTCCATTTCTGGATCTGAGGCCGCGTCCTTCACTGAAGTGATGTATATCTTTGGGTGGGTAGTCTGCTGTGAAGATTTCGGCATTTTGACGATGTAAAACACCCCTGTGGTGTTTAAATGTTGTTTTAGGTAGGTGAAGATGAGAATTTTTGAATTCTAAAGATAAACTAGAAGTTTCGCTAGGCTGCTCGGTGAAAACGCATGCGTTCAGCCCGCCATCTTGTCCCCTCCCCTCGCCCATGACATACAGCTTAGCTTTCTGTCGTTGCGTGATGACGCAGATTCCATGAGACAGCGTCGCAGCGGGTTTTCAAGCGTTGTAGAACTGTCACAGGGAGAAACAGGTTCGTGTAACAACTCTCGATATCTGTAATGTTGAATACTGTTTGCCATTATATTGCTGTTGCAGTTTATTGACAGTTGCCTGTTTCTGTGAGCAAATTGGAAGATTTTGAAAAGGACGGGAGGAATTTCACTTCAAACAACCGGGGTAGCTTTATAAGCGATTGTAGTTGAGAAGTTTTAAACTCCTGTTTGACTTCAGGCGTCGAAATCGAATCCCATACATTTTAAATGAGCACAACTTTATTTGAATCATGTTTACAGTTGTTCAAAAAACGTCAACTATATGATCGTTTTTGGATGCTTTCGTTATCTACACACTAACGTTAGTACGGCTGTGAAATTTGAAGGGAAAAACGTACTGTATCTAATTGCAATATATATATATATATATATATATATATATATATATATATATATATATATATATATATAATTTTATATTATTTCATTGAACTTAATACATATGAAGAGATGATTAATTAATAATATGTTTAATAGCAGTTAAATAATTAATAACAGCCTAGTAAGACTGTCAAACACAGACAGCAGTCATGCATTAGCTCTGAGCAAGGAAAGTTTATATGTCATATCGCAGCCTTTTGCGATTTGGTAATCGCAACGTTTCAAATCGCGATTGCCAAAAACATGTCCACATATTGTGCCTGAAACATGTATGTCCCCTACATGTATAGCACATATATGTCCCATATATTTCAGAAACATATATGTCCACAAATATGCCAGAAACATGTATGTCCCCTACATGTATCGCAAAGTATATGTCCCATATATGCCAAAAACATATATGTCCCCTACATTATATAGCACATACAGTTGAAACCAGAAGTTTACATTTTTCTGTTATGCTTAGTAGCAGAAAAATGAGAGACTTTTTTGAGAAATTGTTATAACTTTTCTTGAAAGTCAAGTTTACATATAACAAGATTATTATGCCTCTGAAAAAGCTCAGATGATGGTGTCAAGGTTTTGGAAGTTTCTGATTGGCTAATTGACAACATTTGAGTTAATTGGAGAATAGTATTAGAATAGTACTTAAGGAAAACCCCAAACACACTGCTTACTTGTGTGACAACATGGGAAAATCAACAAGCCAGAATCAACAAAAAAGCCAGATTACAATTTGCTAAATGACACTGGGGAAAAGAATCATTTTTGAATACATGTCCTGTGGTTTGATGGAACTAAGATTGAACTTTTGGCCCAAATGACCAGTGTTACATTTGGAGGACAAAGGGTAAAGCTTACAAGCCTAGGAACACCATCCCAACTGTGAAGTATGGGGGCGGCAGCATCATGTTGTCGGGCTGTTTTGCTGCAGGAGGGACTTGTCCGCTTCACAGCATAGATGGCTTTATGAAGAATAAACATTATGTAGAAATACTGAAGCAACATCTCAAGACATCAGCCAGGAAATTAAAACTTAGCCACAAATGGGTCTTCCAAACAAACCATGACCCTAAGCATACTGCCAAATTAGTTAAAATGGGCTTTAAGGACAACAGAGTGAATTTTTTGGAGTGGCCATCACAAAGCCCTGATTTCAATCCTAGATCTAGAATCTCCTGGATGGGAGACCACATGGGAAAACTAAGTTGCAGTTGGAAGTGGTGTTAGTGAGGCCAGCAAGGGGTGCTCAACCTGCCTTCCTAATGCCCCAGTTAAAGTGAAGAGGACACCATTCTGTCAGTGGGTGCCGTCTTTCAGATGAGACATTAAACCGAGGTCCTGACTCTGTTGTCACGTCTGTGTCTATGTCCATGGCACTTTAGTAAAAGAGTAGGGATGTAGCCCCGGTCCTCCCAATCATCCCCATCCACTGAATCGGCTCTATCACTGTCTCTCCCCTCCACCAACAGCTGGTGTGTGGTGAGCACACTGGCACCATTGTCCCGTGGCTGCCATTGCATCATCCAACTGGATGCTGCACACTGGTGGTGGTGTGGAGAGAACCCCTCATGATTGTGAAGCACTTTGGGTGAATAGCCATATGCAATAAATGTGCTATATAAATACACACATTACATTACATCACATATATGTCCCCTACTTGTATAGCACATATATGTCCCATGTATGCCTGAAACATATAAGTCTCCTACATGTGTAACACATATATGTCCCATATCTTTCTGGCATATATCTGGACATATGTTTCTGACATATGTATGTTTCTGGCATATATGGGACATATATGTGCTCTACATGTATGGGACAAATATGTTTCTGACATATATAGGACATGTATGTTTCTGACACATTTGGGACATTTATTTGTTATACATTTTTAGGCCATACAGTATGTGTGTCTAGCATATATGTGGAAATATATCTTTTTGACATCAGCATATTACTTTAATAAATCATTTTAGCCTTTTTTGGTTACTGTATGTGAACTAAAATATATTTTACTCCAAATCACCTTTACATAAACTTCTTAGTGTCGTAGTTTTTGACTTGGAAAACACCCAATTTAAGAACCACAAACTGCAAAGCGTAAAGTGAAATATAGTATCCAAAATGTGCAATGTGGAGGATTAAGAGCAACTGCTTTGAAGGACAGAAGGAGTATGAGTGGATTGCTTAGTCATCACCTGGAGAGCAGTATTTCATTTAAGGCTTATTTAAAGCGTTTGATGAAAGTGTGTATTTTTCAGTGATTTAACACCTGATTATGGGCCTCTAGTTTAAATTGTCACCTTAAGCACCACTTGTTAAATTTTCCCTTTGCACGAAAGAGAGCACTTAAAAAATGATAGAGTATCTCAGTTGCAACTATACAGCACAATGAAATAACCAAGATTATTTTAACCCATTAATATTTAGTTTGAACATTTTTAATGATTTTTTTGGTGTGTTTTTGTTGCTGCTGTAATGTCACTATTATTTTTAAGTTTCACATTACATTTACAGTTGAAGGTTGAGTTATTAGCCCCACTGTTTATTTTTTCTCCCGATTTCTGTTTAACGGAGAGAGGATTTTTTCAACACATTTCTTAACATAATAGTTTTACTAACTCATTTCTATTGACTGAATTCTTCTATCTTTGCCATGATGACAGTACATAATATTTGACTAGATGTTTTTTAAGACACTTATATACAGCTTAAAGTGACATTTAAAGGCTTAACTAGGTTTATTAGGTTAACTAGGCAGGTTAGGGTAATTAGGCAAGTTATTGTATAACAATGGTTTATTTTATAGACTTTCGGAAACAATATACAGTAGCTTTAAGGAGCTAATAATTTTGACTTTAAAATCTTTATTTAAAATAAAAACTGCTTTCTATCTAGCCAAAATAAAACAAATAAGACTTTCTCCAGAAGAAAAAATATTATCAGACATACTGTGAAAATGTCCTTTCTCTGTTAAACATCATTTGGCAAATATTTAAAAAAGGGAAAAAAGTCAAAGGGGGACTAATAATTCTAACTTAAACTGTATTGACAGTCAATTTATTGATAATGTTCACCCAAATATGAATTTTCAGTCATTATAAGGTTTTCTCAAAGATCAGCTAAATGAAAACTTGTTTCTAAATATACTCTTTAATGTCTAATAAAATAAATAAAGTAAAAACTGGTTTAGAATTACATTTTTGGCTTTGCTAAACCTTAATAGTCCCATTTTAGATGTACAAATGTTCAATACAATTTAAATATGAGGTTATAAAACCAGCAATTATGCAAGAAAATTGTTTAAAATAGTTTAATAGCACACTGTTTGAAATGCCATGTCAACTACCCACGTAATTATTTAGGATAGTACAGAATAATAGAATGTACGATGGCCTGAGGGTATTTATTCTATTCAAGTGATCTGTTTTAAGTATTATGATTGCAGCTTAATGCTGACATTATATATTTAAGTAATATTTTCTTTAACATTTATAATTACAGGCTATTAAATGCTTCAGGACCAGATGCAGACTCAATAACGACTGGATTTTTTTTTTTAAAGAGCCGGAGCAGCATTCCGTTTACATTACTCTTAATGATATTTCAGTCTGGTTACAAGATCTGTTGCAGCCTGAAGAATATCTTCATCAGATATGGAAAGCAGTCCTGATCTGGATCCTAACAAGGATGACTTGCCCCTGTGTGCGAACACCAACCATATGCTCGTCCGCCACTATGTCCTTGACCTGGCCGTTTACATTCAAAGGAAGGTCATTGCCGGCAGCATTGTTTTGTTTTTGGAGCCTGGTTTGGGTTCCAGCAAACAATGTGAATCAGGATGTGCCTCAAACACGCAAGATCAATCTCAAGTATCAACCAAACATGACATAAATTCTCCCATTACACCTGAGCACAAAAGGCTGATACCCCCTGAGGAACCGCCATATTTGATTGGAGGAATGGATGTTGGTAGTGAGGATGAGAGTGAAGAATTCACCTTGGTTTTAGATTGTTGTGACCTGGTAGTTTCAAGAGTTGAAGAGCTGGATGTTACTACAGTACTGGATTTAAAAAAACTTGATGTGAACGAACAGGATGTGTATGCAGGACTGGTACAGAGGCTTGTCTCTATGCCTTCTTCCTGCTGGAGAACACAACATGAGCTTTACCTTCAGTGCAGCCGTTCATCAAACATCGTAAATACACAACCTCTACAGTTCCACATGGATCGGTGGAGCCTTCAGATTAGGAAAAAGGGGGTTCGCACACCTCATGATTTCCCATGCGCTGTCAGAATCTGGTATGAAACTAAGCCCACGGGTGGTTCTGTGAGATGGACAAAAGACCAGGATGGCAGGTATGAAGTATTTTTAAATGTTTACATCCACCGAAAATTTGTGAAAACTTGCTAAAACTTGCTACTGGCCTATTACCTGCTTATTATAAAGATATTAGCTGTTTATTAGCACTATAAAGTATTATCTGATCTTATTTTACCCTAATCCTACCCAACACCCAAATCCAACTATTACCTTGCTAACTATTAAAAAGCAGAAAAAAATTGTAGTTTATTAAGCTAAAAATCTTGGTTAATGGTTTGTTAATAGTATAAATTGTACATTAAAGGGCATCCATGGTGAAAAGTCTACTTTTAAAGCTGTTTGGACAGATGTGTGTGTAAGTATAGTGTATATACTGTCATAGTGGGGTGAAATAACCCCACCCAGTCCTTTTTTTCAAATTTAACAACATAAAACGGTGGACCAATTGGAGCAGTTTTCAGATCAAGCGCAATTTGACGTAGGAGTGCGGTCCCCCCGCCCACCAATATTGATTGACAGCAGCCGCTCATTGACATGTCTCCGTAGTAATGCATATAATCATATCAACAAGACAGGATGAGCGCAAAGCAACCGGTAATAAAATGTCTGTTCAATTTGCTAGGATCATCAATCATCATCAAACGTGATCAAGAGTGAGTTTTACAAGTTTAACATGTTTTAAAACAGTCCACGTGTGTAATGAACTTCAGCGATTCACTTAAGATTCACTTCATCAGAACAGGCGCATGTCTCACTGTCTTTCCGTGTGTGTGTGTGTCTGCGTTATGTATGTGTGTGTGTGTGTGTGTGTCTGTGTGTCTACACTATGTATGTGTGTGTGTGTGTGTGTCTGCGCTACGTGTCTGTGCTGTGTGTGTGTGTGTCTGCGTGTCTGCACAGTGTGTGCGTGAACTCATTGTTGCAACTCCACAAAAAATGCATCACATCCGTTTGTTAAGTGGTGACGTGTTTGTGACGGATGTAATACTGTTTCCGGGTCCAAGCCGCCACTCATTTGAGTGGAGAAATCATTTGTTTATGATCACGTTTTATTCCTATCACACATTAAAGTTAATTTTATATAAAATCATAGTGTACACAACAATCTCTGGGCTTGCTGCCTAACAAATACCAAAAGTTTAACAATTTATAAAAAATTTATCACTTTCTGGCCATCGGATATTAGGCATGGATATATATACTGCGATCGTGATTTTCAAAAGCCTTAAATCGCTTTGTAAACGTTTATTATTACCATTTCATGAGTCTCCCTATTCAGTTGTATAGAGTGCTTGGACCCGGAAGCCGCTTTGCGTGACGTCACACTTAACAAGCGCATACTGATTGGTAAAGTTTTTACTGTAGTATTTCTCACAAACGTTACGTGAGATCTGCTTCCTGACACAGCCGAGGGCGGCGATTGAGGCATGTTGCTGACAGGCATGTGGGAACGGTGGGCGGGGATGACTAGCCTTAAAGGCCCAGTGCAAAAAAACAGCAACAACCTTTTCCCAGCTATAATACAGACACTTCAAACAGCTATAATAAATACTCTGATGGGTGTTTTGATTTGAAACTTTACAGACACTGGGGACACAAAAGACTTATATTAAATATGAAGAAAGGGGTAACCTATGTGCCCTTTAAAATTAAGTGTGATCAGATTTCCTGATTCATTTGTACATTTATTAGTTAACATCTACAGTTGGTCCCACTTATCCCAATATTAAAGGACCTTAACTATTAGGTACCTTCAACAAATAATAAGTCCAATGTACTCATTGTGTTCATATTGCCTTGTAAAACACTTACGGGGCAATTGACGTGTGATGAAGGTACTGTAAGGTTAGGGACAGGCTTGATTCAACAAGATAATTATAAATGTAAATGCAGAAATTGAATACAGATGTAATTAAATGAAAAAAAAATGTAAATTTTTTTTTAACAATTTAGTACGTAGGAGCTAAGGGCAATTAATATAAAGTAAGCCCAACATTTATTTTGCACCATCAGCTAATAACGTACATTAAATAGGGACTTAGAAAATAGTGTGATTATGCATATGTGAATTATTGCTAAAAGTTTAACTTAAATATTCTATTCCATTATTATTAATACTTAATAAGGCCCTCATATTTGTACTTTGATTTTTGAACATTTACTTTGTTTTCAAAGCGCCAGCAATGAAAGGCACATGTGCTCATTTGTCACAAATGTTTGCAAATGTATTGCAAAGGTTCAAAACCATGTGGGAGTTAATTTTCTGCAAGCAGATAAATTGTATATGCATGAACATGTAGCACTTTGGTCTCGCTTGTCAGGAAAACAAGTGAGTAAACAAATTTAAATACTCATTTTGACTAATTTATACATAATGAACAGTGAATCACTTCCGTGATTTAGTATGATTGCTTTCATATCAGAAGTGAACTGTACCCTATTACTTTAAGGCAAAGAGCAGCATTCAAATTGGGACAAAAAGCATATAGTTCAATAAAATAATTCTGTTAGAATAATGAAGTGCACACTATGACTAAAATAAAATATAAAGATAAATAATTTTACAGGATTTCATGCGTAACTGGAGCATGTAGCTAAACTGTGAATGATGATAGTTATCGTTCTTCGTGTGAAGGAGTCTTAACTCCAATGTTTATCAGTCTTATGAACAATTCATTTATATGACCCGCTCATGACTTATTTGTAATTAAGACGTAATTTATCTGTAACGGTTTATGTAGGGAAAGAGAGTAAGAACTCAGTTGCAGTAAATTAAATGGGTTTTATTAACAAAAAAACAAAAAAAAACAAAAGCAACCCAGCGGGGGAAAACATTAACAAAACAAATAAACAAAAAAACTTGACTGGGTCGGCTGGCAGGGATCAAAGCTTGAAGACACATCAGAACAAGGCGATAAACAACGACGAACTGGCACAGAACAGCAGACAAGAGAAGACTATAAGCAGAAACAATAAATAAACAAACAGGTGAACTGAATAAACTAATAATGGGATAACAAAGAGGGTGGGGCTAGACAATATACTGGCGCACATGACACAAAAGCAACAACAAAAGCCTTGTGCTCACATAAAACGAAACTAGAACTCGCAGCCAATGAGAGAACCCATTAACCGCGTGTTCACATGAAACATGACACTAAAGCACACAATGTAAACAACAGGGCCACGTGCTTTAACAACACCAACACAAACAGAACACAAGCGTACACAATAAATAAAAACACTTACCGTGTACTCACATATGCAGCGTGCATGTTTCATCTCAGCCCCAATCGAAACCAATTAGACTGAGACGCTGAGAATGAAACTGCACACTGCAAACAGAACAAACACGAGCACTCACGAACCGACCCTCCTCTGGTGCGTGCGCGCTCGCTACAAAGAAACAAATGTGCTGATCACTCGAGAACTTACGTTCACAACAACGACAAAAAACACAAACCAAGACAGGATGAGTGCCCGGCCTGAGTAAACTCGAGCTAAGCACGACATACAAGACAGGACTAGTGTCTGGACTCCAAAACAAGAATGAACAAGACTGAAGTGGCAGAATCATGGTGTAAAAGTTTGATTATAATTTTTTAAGTGCGGTTTCAAATGAAAGAGGTTCTAAATTTCCACTCATCCCTACCCATCTGTTATCCAGTATATGCTGTGATGCCATGTTTATTTTTTATTTGTATATTTTTCCAGATGCTGTGTTTATACCATGGGCTCACCCATCAACAACAGAGCCCTCTTCCCATGCCAGGAGCCACCTGTTGCCATGTCAACGTGGCAAGCGTGTGTGAGGGCTCCGTGTGATTTCACTGTTCTAATGAGTGGTGAAAATCAAGCTTTTCCAGAGCCTGCAGAGACAGGTGCAGTCAAAAGCCTTAGTCAGCACTTCACTGTCATGCATGTGTAATTAAGTGCACTAATTTTAATGTGGAAAACACTGAAGCCTTTTCTTTACTCTTTTTAGGTTTTCAGCAGTGGGATTATTATGTTACAATGCCAATGCCAGCATCTACCTTTACTATAGCAGTAGGACAATGGCTAGAAGCTGAAGTTAAAGTGACAAATTATGTGGACGACAAACTCAGGTATGTTGTTCATTTGACTTAAAGAGCCCCTATTAATCATTAAAAAAGGTCATATTTTGGTTTTGCGGGTCTCCAACAACAGGCTGATATGCATACAAGGTCAAAAAACACTTTCATTGTCTTATAATATGCATTTATTTGACCTAATTATCCCAATGACTCCCATATAATTCGTTCAGCGATTCATTTGTTCTTAAACCCCTCCTTAGTGCGATGCTAATCAGCGCTGATTGGTCCGATGACCCAGTCTATTGCAATTGGTTGACTGCGTTTAATGTGAGACAGGGAGAAATGCCCACCATGGCTTATCAAAAATTTTAAAGTAGTCAGAGTGCAGAGTGTATGTGTGAGCCCAGTGCAGGAGTGCATTAAAGCAGTGCAGTTTAACACCAACATATTACTCTACTCTTAACCATGACACACATTCAGTATTAATCCACACAGTGGCAAAAGCTGAACTATTTTGAAACTTGAACGCCACACGTGTGTAGGAACAGCTGATGGTGGCCATATCAAGGAAAAATGGCAGTAGATCGCAAGCTCACAAACGCATTTAAATCCGTAAAGCGTCACACGTCACGTTTTCAACTTGGTTTTAGACGCGATATGGAAATATAAAGAGTTAACTAGAGAAAGTACAAGCGGTTACAAGTAACAAAACACAATTAAATACATGATTTGCAAACAAGGACAGTAAAAAACCATTTTAATCGCACTTATTTAAACATGTGAAATGGAGAAAGAAACCATGAACTGTGTACTTATAAAGTTCCTGTCAAACTCTGCCAAAGTCCAATATATCAGTAGTCTTTTCTAAACCTTCCTATAACAAACGGCAGATAAATCCTCCGTTGTAAGCGTGTAGATTGCTGAATCACTCGTTAGACAAATAATGGGAACACAGCACCAGGCTGGGGCTATAATGCTGAGGTATTTTTGCAAAAATAAACTTCACTGACTCTTCACAGCCTCATCTTTGAGTAGGGAAAGAAACACTGACTTTCCCTCACACTTCAGAGCACAGCGTCTACGCGACATGATTCAACCAGGATCTGCTAGCGTTTGTCTTCCTTTTCTTTGTACAGTGTGTGTGGGCAGGGCTGGGTTTTTAAATTTTTCCGGGTCTGCACACTCAAAAAATGGATGAGGCTTGAGTTCCGTACGCTGACACGGCTAAAGACTTGTTACAGCGACGATTCATTTGAACCACTATGATTCGACTCTTTTATAGATGAATCAATTGTTTTAAACACGGTGCACATTTAAATTTAAACATCAGCTGGATATTTCACTTGACCTAGAGCTGTGTTACACACTGCATGGAAAGTCATTTTCAAAAACCCATAATAGGGGCTCTTTAAATATCTAGACGAGATTATCTGCTTTAATTTATCAGACATCTTTAGCATAATTCATTATTTTATTTTGGCAAATCTCCAAATGTCTTGTTGTTTCCAGTGTATTCTTCTTTAACATGCATATTTCTGTTTTACAGTCTTCCTTTAGACAGTGGTGATGAGGAGTACATTTGTTCCCACATGGATTATCCATGCCGCTTTATGGTTGGCCCTGCTAGAGTACAGACTGTTATTCCTCACCGAGTGTTTGCCCCATCCTGCCACTTGCAGAAGGCACAGGACATGGTTCTACCTTTGCTGCCCCTTTGTCTGACTGCGGCCCATTCTGTTCTTGGTGTCCATCCATTCCCGCGTCTAGATGTGCTCATTGTTCCCTCAGGGTTTTCCAGTCTGGGCATGGCCAGGTAATTGCAGCATTCCTCTTAAATGTGGTTCTTGAATAATAATACAGTGATTGATTTTGAATTTCTTTAGTCTGCAGCTTTTATGAGTAATGTGTCGAAGCTGAATTGAGCTGATTCATTTTTAGCCCTTATTTGACTATACTTTATTAAAATGCAAATATTTTAATGGAAAGTTGAACTTTTTAAGCTTAGATAATACACTATAATGTGGGTCCATTAAATTTGCTTACTTTATTCCAATACTTTTAAAGCTTTTTGGTGTATTGTATTCATTTGGAGAGCAGGTATGAGCATATTTTGGCCCAATCCCAATTCTATTTTTTTACCACTACCTTTTCCCCTTCCCATTGACCCTTGAAACAGAGTGTAAAGGGTAAGGGCTTAAAAATTTACCTCTAAGAAGCGAGACACCACTACTACACCTGCACACATCATCATGTTATCGTGATCTCTTGCTTCATATGAGATTGACGATGGTGACTGCTGTAGTTATTCCAGTTGTGTTATTTTTTGGTGTTTAACTTCAAGAAATCACTGAAGGCATATATTGTGTTATCATAACCATATAATATGGCAAAAAGATCGTAACTGTACTGGGCATTTACACACACAACAATATTAGCATTATTGACCTTATTCTCCGCAGACGAGCGGGCGCTGCCATTTGAATCTTTTTGGCACGAGACTTCCGGTCTCATTCACTTCCATTCATTTTTAAACATTAAAAACTGCTTGTTTCGCTGTTTGATGTTGCAAACTGATATTTTCTTGTTATATTATTCTACTTGGTCTGTATAGTCATGCTAACATTTGTTTGTAGAGCAAGTAGTTTGACCGTTTTTTGCCGTTTATTATTCCTTGTCATTTCTCACATAGGCGACTGAAACGGAAGTTCCAAGACAATCGCGAAAACAGGCGCACTTCCGCATTTTAGAATAAGGTCAATAGCAGACACTGTAAGCTCATTTCCAGCCACTAAACTCTTCTGACAGGGTATTCCAGTGTCATCGAGTGACAGATGTGTATTTTGTGGGACTTCTATACAGGAGTTATTATTATTTTATTATTATAATTTAGCCATTTTTATTTTAGCGTTTTGTTTTTTTTTAAACCATGATGGTAAAACACGAATGCCATTATGAATATAATAAAACAAATGCTTGTTTAATGTAAAATAATGCCAAAAATACTAATTTGTGCATTTTTGACAGTGCTGTTGTAGCTGGTGTATTCTGGAAAAATTTTATACTTCATGGTTTCGAGTGTGGTTCTAAAAAATCTCAGTTTCAGGGGCTATCTAGTCCTTCCCCTAAGCCCTATGTCTTCAAGCTAGAATTGGGACACCCCTACCCCTTCACGAGAATGGGCAGAATGAGGGGTAAGGGGAAGGGCTAAGGGGTAGAATTGGGATTGGGCCTTTTTGTCTATCTATCTGTCTGTCTCTTTGTAGGACAGTTTGTCTGTTTTATGAGCAAAGAAAATCAAACACGAACAAAATGAAGACGGTTAAATAATACTTTTTAATGCACAAATCTTTTTTAAAACTTATATACACGTTTTTTGCTAGTTTTTACTCACTCAGGCTTAGGAAAAGCTGCATGTGAATATGTATCAACATCTCATCTGCAACTGTAAACTAAAACACAAATTCCTTTTATTTGGCATGTAAGGCAGTGATTTTAGGAGTGAAACACTCATATCAAGTCATCACTTGGCAGCTTTTCCCATTGATTCCCTTTTGGCTTTTGGGCATTGCCCTCCAGGATGCCTCGGTTTTTATGAATTGACTGATTTAAATGCTCTTTTTGGCCAACAGCAATGTTTGTTTTTTAGTCTGGGTGGCTTTGGGTGTTGAGAACCTGTTGGAACTGATTAAATGGCTACAGTGAAACTCATTTTCCTTACACTGCTCGAGAAGTTCACTGCTCAGGAAATGCTGAATGAAGTGCATGCACTGCATTTTATTTGTGTTTATAGTATACCAAGCTTTATGTTTTCTGTAAACCTGTTCTTAGCTAGAATTTGACAGCAATTTCCAGCTAAGCGACCGCCGCTGTAAGCAAACACTAGTACTAAGGCAGTCTGGCCACAATGTAAGTAAACTTAACTAGTATGACCACAAGTCTTCCCGTATTTCCCAACATCTCCCTATCCAGGAATAAGTGTTCCACAGGATATGAGGTCATTACCCGGAGCCCCATGCAGGTTCCAACCATTCACCGAGAGAAAATGCCACATACTAATTAGAACTGGGCATGCATCTTAAAAGCGGTCACTCCTCTGTTTTTCTTTTCCTGAATTAGGTACTCCTTTCTGCCTGAGCTAATGTCAAGCTCAGCACTGCAGGCTTTTTTTCAGTCAGGAGAGTGTTTAGTTGCCTGAGCGATTATTACAGCTTGGTTTTATTAGTCTTCCTGCAAAAAAACTGCCAATGCATGACAGAAATGTGTCTTGTGTGTGAAATAGATACCTATCCTCACCCCTCTACACACATACGGGTCACAGAGAGAGACAGGCCTCCACCCCTTCTCTTGAAAATGGTACAGTCCTCTAGGCCTTTCCTAAAGCCCAAATCAGAGCAAAAAAGAGTGATCTTTGTACATTTGGGGCCAATAGGGGGGCACTTTGTGATGCCGATCCCCCAGGATGTGGGAGAGGAAGTCTGGATTATTCCCAGCAACAAAAGCCGTTCACTCCTGGAACCACTTCAGAGACAGGAGCTTTTTAATCTGAAAATTGGGAAGTGTGTGGGCCCAAATCCTTGGGGCCTAGCCAGTATCTGCTTTTATATCATGCTTGTTCATTTGCAGCTGGAGCTTTGGACGTAGCAGCAGAGCTGCTGGTGGTTCTCTGGAGGGAAGGAAGTAGAGATTAAGAAGTCAAGAAAGGCCAGGCCTGATAGTGTGCACTGTGCTTCCTCCCAAATACCCGAATGACTGCTGTCCCAGCGCACAAAAACAGCAATTCCACCGGGAAGTTATTCTTGGCATGATTCTTCAAAATCTGATTCACGAAGTCCTAGAATCTGATGACAAGCTTTTTGAAGCTTGAGGAAATATTTCTGCATGGTTCATCATCACACTTCCATCCTGTGTATTGCTGACCGATCACGTAGGGTTGATTCTTGATCTTGAGGTGATGACGTAAATGCAAAATGCTCATATCTTCAGATCTTTGGAGGAAGGGCACAGCACTTTCCTCAACTTTGAAAGCAGTCACTTTCTGTCCCTTAACACCTCTTTTACGCCACAGCAGGACATAGTTGGAATACTTCATGTGCCAGATGTGCTAATATGGGCATTGGCTGTTTTCGGGCGAGACTGAGCTGAAAAATCCAAGTTCATTGTGTTTTCCCACGTTCAGTCGGTGATGTAGGGTGTTTTGTGACAGTAGGTGGGTAATAGTCTTAATGAGGTCTTTTATGTTGAATTCAAAGTTGTATTGTTGTAGCTGCCAAAGTCATCACTGGATTGTTGGTGTACGGTAAGACAAGCACCCCACCAGTAGTGCATTTGGGAGACATGCAAATATGTCTAAATAAAAAATATATAAATAATTAGCTAAGAGGCAGGTTAAAAGAATTCTAGGACGCTTCTACTCGGTATTGTGCATCCAGACATTCTCATGAGCAATTGCCAACTCACTTGAAGTGCTTTTTGTGTACTTCTGTGCTGTATAAATAGCTCCTCTTGGTCAATTACTTAGCAATTACTCTGCTTCTAGCAGACTAGCATTTGACCTTATATAGCCTGTTAGTGGCGTCTGAACTCTGAACCGGTCTGGACCGGCAGTCGATGAGCTGGAGTTTAAGAGCAAGTAAGGGGAGAAATGCAGAAGCATGCCTACAAAAATCTCACTTACTTTTCACAGTTTTAAGGAATAATCTGGGTTCAATGCAGTTTAACCTCAATTAACAAGAGATGGTGATGTTGTAAAGTTACTACAAAAAAATGTAACTTGCATTTCAGTCTTGAAGTATTTAGAAAATACAGGGTTTTTGCACATTTCGTTGTTAATTAGATTTTGCTGCAGTGTACTTAAAGATGCAGTGGGCGATCTGCCAAAATAATAACCATTAGCGTAATATCTTAGAAACACAGTCCCTCTCCTGCCGTCGAACACCACGTCTATTAAAATCACAAATGCACACCTTAAAGATGACTGTAGACGACCCGCTAGAGCTGGGCGATATGGCAAAAAAAATTATCACGATAATTTTTTCCATATCATGATATCATGTCGATATTGATATTTATCATGATAAACGTAAAATCTTTTTATCTATCATTTTTATAAGATTTTCAGTATGACAATCGCTTTGTGCAGCTGATTTAACACATTTGGTTAAATGTTTTAGCTGTCTGACAATACTAATAATAAAATAATAAACAAAAGAACAATCTAAATTCAGCATTTACTGTTCAAGTTTTTAACAACCGAAGACATTACAAGTTATTGGATATTATTGTTCAACATTAGAAAAAAATAATAATAAATCCAGTTGGGAACAAGTAAAGGTGAGTAAATGGTCACAGAATTTTCAGTTTTGGATGCATTTTAATGTATTAGAGTGAAATGTACTTTAATATATTTTATTTAGGGATGCAAACGATTACTTGATGATCTATTGATTGTCAATAACACTTTATTCAATAGATCTTATCGATGACTGATTAGACATGGACATGTAAAGGTTTTATTATGCTTTGCGCTGTGAGACACGTCCACGCATTACATAATCAAGTGTGTGCAGTTTACATTATGCAGTCACCCTCTTGACATCGCATATAGCGGGTTGCATAACCCAGTTATGCGCAGATCTCCATTATATCCGCGGATGTTTCAACCAAATTTGTCTGACAGACTAGCACAAATAGGCCTATGCAGACTCTTATTTTACAAATCGCGCATCACAACGAAAACATGCGGGGAGCCGCAAAGGTTGTATTTTTGCCTCCCGTTAGTGATGCGGAAATGGCGGTTATATCTGCGGGCGCTGC